CCGCTCATACACACACACACACTCTCATACACTCTCATACACACACATACACTCTCATACACACACACACACACACACACACTCATATACACTCATATACACACACATACACTGCCGCTCAAAAGTTTGGGATCAGTAAGACTTGTAATGTGTTTTAAAGAAGTCTCTTCTGCTCATCAGGGCTGCATTTATTTGACCAGAAATACAGAAAAAAAAACTGTAATAATGTGAAATATTATTATAATGTAAAACAGCTGTTTTCTGTGTGAATATCTGTTAAACTGTAATGTATTTCTGTGATGCGCAGCTGTATTTTCAGCATCATTCCTCCAGTCTTCAGAGTCACATGATCTTCAGAAATCAGTATAATATGCTGATTTATTATCAGTGCTGGAAACTGTTGCTGCTTCATATTTTTATGGAACCTGTGATACTTTTTCAGGATTATTTGATGAATAAAGTTAAAAAGAGCAGCATGTATTCAAAATATAAATATTTTCTAACAATATAAGTCTTTATTATCCCTTTTATCAATTTAACACATCTTTGCTGAATAAAGCATTCCTTTCTTTCAGAATAAAAAAACACTTTTGAACACACTCTCTCTCTCTGTTAGCCTTCATGGCAAAAATCAAATCTTCTTCCATGACAACAGATTTCAGGGCATTTGTTCCTAATCATAATCCATGTATGGTTAATATTTCAGCTGTAAGAACCACAATTTCTGACAAATCAGCTGTTCAGTTATTCACAACAACACACGTCATGTAACACAGAGTAACGTGTAAAGCATTAAGTCATTCAGTAATAATAATAATAATAATAAGGAGCGAATGATTTACTCACGTAATGCTCGTAGAATTTTGACAGTCGTGGTTTGCCATGATTATTAAAGATCAGAATGGCTTTTATCATGTTCACCGCTGTGGTCGGGTCCAGCTGCGGCTGAAGTCGTCGATGTTACAGATTGATATTCCAATAATCAATAACTAATAATCGCAATCTGACACTCAGGCGCACAGCAGAGCGGAACAGCGCGCCGGAACCTGTCAACAAGCGCGTCAGAGTAACTTCCGCTCAGCGAGCGCGCTCCGTGACGCAGAGACGCTGTCAAAATAAAAGTCACGACGATCCGAGATCGACTGCTCTTAACACGTAAATCCGTAAACGTTTAATTAAATAACTAAAAGTATTCTGTGTAAGTGTATAATGTGTAATTACATCTGTTTTGTGTATATGCGTGTTTTGTGTTTTGCTGTACTGCACTCAAGAATTTCACTTACTGTTGCACCCGTGGTTAAATTAACAACACATATTATTATAGGAAATAATGAACATACGTGTCTATGTGTTTTATTGTGTGATTTCGTTCATGCCTTTTCTTTATATTGTTATTGGTGAATCATGTGTCTTAAACTCTACAGATGAAAAGAGTATGTAACATTAGTTTGGCATTCATTTTTAAGATTTCTTGCCTGTGTAATTGTTTTATTTTTTTTTTCGTCTAGTTGTAGTTATTTTTTATCGCCATTATTCACATATCCCACAACACAAATTATGAAATCACATATAGGCATTTTATAGCCAATGTTCTTTTAGTTCAAAGCAAGGCTTCGGAGCATATCGCGAATCATTTGATTCAGATCAAAACTTCGACTTCGTATGGCGAATCATTTGATTCATATCGGGACTTGATTCAGATCAAAAATTCGACTTCGGAGCGTGTAACACGAATCATTTGATTCAGATCGGGACTTGATTCAGATCAAAACTTTGACTTCAGAGCGTGTAACGCGAATCATTTGATTCAGATCA